TCATTGGATTTCGGGAGTTCTTTCTGTTTCTGGTATGCTAAGAGTTTTTACCATGAATAGATGTCTATACTTTTGTTAAACTCTTTTTCTGCATCTGTTGATTTGATTCTGTTATGTTTCTTTTTATTTCTGTTAATTAGTGAATTATGTTAAAGGATAGTGAATGTTGACCCAGTCCCACATATCTCTCTTTTATATATTGCTAGATTCAATTTGCTAGTATCTGTTGTCTACTTTTTGCCTACATTCAATTAGGATATTGATCTTCAATTTTGTTTTCTTGTTCTGTCTTTGATTTTGGTAGTAGGATAATGCAGACACCATGAGCGTGATCTGGGAAGTGTTCCATAAAATGAGTTGGAAAGCGTCGTCTCTTCTGTTTTCTGGAAGAGGCTGTGCAGAATTGGTATTATTCTTCCATACTTATTTGATAGTATTTGCCAGTGAAACCATTTGGAGATTTCTTTCTTCATAAGATTTCTGCCTCACCTTCTGTAAGCAATGATGCCAGCGTCAGTCAGACTGGAAGGCCTTGGCAATGCTGTTGGGCTCTGTCTGCACAGACACCTCACAGGGGTGGGTCTGGCCTTGGGCAGGGCGTCCGTGCTGGTTCCATTCTCAAAGCCTTGACCGCGCGTCTTTGGTGGCTGCTGCGAATGCACAGCTTGGAGGGAGCCCAGAAGGTGTACAGATTCATACAGATTTAGGGGGTCTTCCTCCAGCTTTCTCCTCCTGGGATACTCTTCGGCTCCGGGGACTTTCTTGCGTAACCCTCTGGCAAGAGTCAGTGTGTCTGTCAACTGCATTTTCCTAGGCTGTCACATAGCCGTGCGCATCGGTTTGCCTGATGGGCAAAGCGTAAGAGAAAAGGAGAAAGGATGAGGGGACTCCCCATACTCTTCAGTCCAAGGGGGCCCTTTTATTGGTTCCTCTGACCAGAGAGAAGGGTTTCTCTGGCATGTTAGGCTCCCCGTCACTGCCACAGACACGTGGCCAGCATCCGGGGCTCACAAGCTTTGAGTGCCTACAGCTGGGTGTGGCATGTTTCAGGCACATGTGCACACTTCATTCCCACAACCTGTGGGGTGGTTCCCACTATTATCCTCATTTTACAGATAAGGAAACTGAGTTCCAGAACGGATCAGTCACTTGCCCATGTCACACAGCCAGAAAGGAACAGAGCTGAGGCTCAGCCCCTTGCCTGATTCCTCAGCCCAAGCTACGCACCCCGACATACCCTGCTTCACATGAGATCCCAGTACCTGCTTTTGTCTCTGTGAACGTGCATGCAATGCCATTGTATAGCTACATTCCTTCTGAATGTTACACCCTCCAAGGTCAGAGGTCATTTCTAGCATCTGTCTCATCACCTCCTAGGGCAGGGTGTACCTTCAGCGTTTGTTGAATGAATAATGAATGGATGGACAACACTCTGAATCTATCCAAGCTTTATATTAGGACCATAGAGACCCTAGAATTTAGCAAGGAGAGAAATTATCTTTATAGTGTTTGCAGGCTGGCTGAAGACGTCCCTGGAATTTTCCAGTTAACTAAGTCACCCAGAGAGACTGGGCCACAGATGGTGTACTCTCAAGAGACAAAGCTGAAGGCCTGGTCCCTTGAACAAATTCTGAAATTGCATTTATTTCTCAGATTGGCCACACATAGAGTTGCCAGATTTAGCAAATAAAGATACAGGACTCCCAGTGAAATCTGAATGTCAGATCATTTTTTAGTATGCTTTCTCTAAGTATGCCCAGTGTAATATTTGGGACATAATTATCCCCAAAAATTTATGTTGCCATTTATCTGAAATTCCGATATAACTCAGTGTCCTGGGGATTCTCTGAGGATTTTATCTAGGGCTTCTCTGACATCCTCTCTGCAAGGGTCTCACTTTAGGGCCATCTCCAGCTGACCCTGGCTGGCCCTCTCAGTGTCTGGCAAGGACCTCTGAGCATTGGTGGTCAATCATCTGAGCTTCTCCCTGGTAAGCAAGGCTCAGAGTGGGAGGCAGGGCCCCCGTGGGGCCAGAACAAGGGTCTTCTGACACCTAGCAGCACTGGAGTGCCAGAGCCCCCTGGGGACATGGGACAAAAGGAATGTTTCTACCCCCATAGGAATTTAACTTTAAAATCCACAGCCCAGGAGTATCAAATTCTAGTTGTGGCTGGGCCAGGGCGCCGCATTGCCAGTGCCCCAAGGACGCCTTCTAAGGGAGGAGGGCCTGGTGGGCACCAGTGTATGGCCAGACGCCCACGTCACAGAGCTCTGCCAGTGACCCATTCTCTCTGGCTCCCCTCCTCGGTGGTCATTACCCAGGAAAGTGTCTGTCTGAGACACCTCTGGTTACTGCATTTTGAAGGTTTCCTTTTGGAAGCATTTTCTGTTCTTCTCCAGAGAGGCCCAGCTTAGGGGAGATATATGTAATCTCCATCTGTTCAGCAGGAACAGCTCTGCTCTAGGGGGTGGGCTGGGGACTGTGTGGACCCCAGGGGATGGTATCCCAGTGTCCGTGACAGCCAAGTCCTCCTGCAACCCCTCCACACCACACTTGGCCACCACGTGCCACACAGTGACCCCAGCACTGAGAGATGGGGGCCTTGAGGGGTGAGACCCCCTCCTGGCTCCAGGGAGTGGCCAGTCCCGCGATGGTGAGCATTACCATCTTGAGTATGACCCACTCCAGGCCTCAAAGCTTTGTTCCTCAAGCTTATAAAGTTTAAAAATACCAAACCATAACAGACGCTGAGCAAGTTAGACCAGCTTTAATATCGCATTATGTTTGTATCTTTTGTTATAATAAAGTATTGCAGATAAGGCAGTCTTCCTTCTCAGCGGCAGCCACTGTGGTGAATCTGGCTCAGATATTTACAATCCATGTTTATGCTTTGCCCTCTGTGTATGTGGATCTATGCAGAATATACAGTGTTATTTTGTAGGCATGTTTGAAGTGGGCCTACGTCACACAGCGAGGAAATGTCAGCTGCAGGCCGAATCTCAGCATGGCCTTAGGATTCTTGGCCAGGGGTCCTAGAATTCATTCATTCAGCAAACACTCTTTGAGCATCAGCTCTGTTTTAGGTGGGGGAATGCTGGGAAATAATGTGGATGAAATGCTGAGCCCCCCTGAGCGCATGACCATCAAAGGCTGCTTTTCTCAGCCCGAGCAGATGCTTGAAAGCCACCTGTTGACTCGGTAGTGGGCATCCTTTAAAAAGTAGCCGCTGAGCTGTGGGGCTGGGCGGGCGCAAAGCTGCCCGCAGTAGCTTCCTTGTGTTGCCCTCTGACGGTTCTCATTCCTACACAGACACTCTTCCATTTTCTCCCCTCCCTCCCCACCTCTCTTTCTTTCTGCTCCTCCTTCCATCTGCCTTGTCTCACCCCCAACTAGAGGGGGGCCCCACGGAGGCAGGGCCTCATCTTCTTGCTCCCCACTCTGTCCAGAGTCTAGAAGCGTGGCACCTATGAATACGCCACCATTATGCATTTGTCAGGCGAGTGACTGAGTGAAATGGCTCCTACTGTGCCCCGTGATTCTGGGTGCGGCTCACCTCTTACCTGCTGGAGTGTGGTTCTGGGGCCCCATATGGAGTCCGACCCGAGTTGGGGCTGCTGTGTGCACAGCGGGAGGCTCCCCAGCTCCATGCTCTCAGCCCTGACTCCAGCACGGATTGGGGCGGTGGCCTTGACCTCTGCTTTCCCATCTGTGAAATGGGGACGCAGTGGAACTCTCCAGCAGGATAGCTGAGGGTTTCAACAAAAGTATTTTAAACCCTCTGACATGTTCCTTGACCACAGGAGAAATGCCCAGTAAACATGAATTGAAGGAAGACTCGGTTGATTGGTATTCTCTCATTCAGACACCATTGTAGAAAAACATTCTGGGCCTAACAGGTGGCAGAGAACATACCCTGTTCAGCCTCTGTAAAGTTCTGGAAGGGCCTGGATGCCTTGGCCATTGATGTCTTGGACTGGAGCTGGGAGGGGTCTCTTCACGGCTATATCCAGGGGCATGTCTGTGAGAAGCCCACCTCCTCCACCCCCAGCCTGGAGCCTCAGCTGCAGGGAACCTTTACAGATGGAAAGAGGGCACCCTGGTGCCCAGCATGCAAACCCACCAGCGTCCTTACATTGGCAGTGCACTGGGGTGGCGGGAACTAGAGTCACCCTCTGCGGACATTGTCTCTGGGCGCCCGAAGTGCTGATATATTCACATCTGTTGACTTAGAAGTTCTGTATCTGGAGTCTGCCCCAGTAAATGAAAATGCATGTACAAGCACATATATGCATATATGTACACGCAAATGCATGTATAAGGATGTTTATCAGTGTGTTGTTTATAATAGGAAAAATCAAAATTCCAAAATCTCTAATTCTAGGAGAATGGTTAAAATGTGCCTTATATTTATGATAGAATACTATGTAACTCTTAAAATGGTATTTTGATAGTTTTTTTATACAGAGATGTAAAACCACAGTTTAAATGTTTTCTCTCCCTTTCTCCCTCACACACAGAAAAAAAAAGATTGTAAAGAAAAATGTCAAAATGTTAACAGTGATTATCCCAAAGTGGTAAGATAATGATTTGCATTTTTTTCTTTTTCGTCTTCTATAGTTTCTTAATGCTCTAAACTGGGTGTAGGTTACTTTGAAAATTACAAGAGAAATAAAGGCATTTTATACGTGTGCTGTCGTGGAAGGACCTCGCATTTAGAGAGGGAGGGTCTGTAAGTCTCAGCGAGACGCCAGCTAGCTCTGGGGTGAGATGCTGAGCCGCTCGCTGCCTTGATGCTTTCATCTGCAAAGTGGGCATCAGAGTGTCTGCCTCAAAGGTTGCTGTGAATACACATGCTTGTAGCTTATAATATGCACAGTTTAAAAAAGGTGAAGAAGCCCTGTTAGATGTGGTATGGGCTTGCTTCCAGGCAGGGGTCCCTCTGGAGGCGGTTCTTCCCAGGCCCCTGTGAGCCCTGGTTAATTCTCTCCCTCCTTCACAGCTGCCCATGATGGGAGGCGCCTTCATGGACTCGCCCAACGAGGACTTCAGCACCGAGTACTCCCTCTTTAACTCCTCCACCAACGTCCACGCGGCCTCCAACGGCCAGGGCCAGCCAGAGGAGCCTCCTCGGTCCTCCAATGACGCCGTCTTGCTCTGGATTGCCATCATAGCAACACTTGGGAACATTGTGGTGGTGGGGGTGGTGTACGCCTTCACCTTCTGAGGGACTGTTGGCCTGCGGCTGCACCCATGTTCTGGAACCAGGAGCTCTGGCCGTGCACATGGCCTCTCCAGGGCCAGCGTCTGTGCATCAGGAATCCCCAAGCAGTCCTGATTTTAAATATTCCATACTGTGGTCAAGCTGATCCTGAAAACCTGGGAGCATGAACTTCTGGATGCAGAGGCAGGACCAGCCAAAGCCTTTGAGGAGCATATTGGGAATTCTTGGAACTGCGTTCCAAGAACCTGAGACCAGAGGGAACAGCCCATTGGGCTAACATTACCGACGTGGCTGGATGCTAGCTTGCTGGCGGTAAATAATCACTTATGTGTCTTGTTTTTATGCAAACTTAGCACACCTGGTGTGTGGGGTGCCAGGCAAGAGCAGCCCCCAGAACTTAACTGTTCCCGACCCAATCTTGGTTTCCCACTCGGCCCCTTGGGATGTTGATGGTGGTCACTTGAAGGGCCATAGAATGTTCCTCGTTTGAGTTGGAAATGACACCTTTGTCACCTGACCCCTTTTGAGACCCAAATCCATCAGGAAACCCAAGGACTGGGGACATTACTTGACGCGATGGGATTTCCAGGATGGGGTGGGGTTTTTATCTACTGGATGGACTTTCTCTTCTTTTTAAAAAGAGAAGCACCTTTAAAAACTTGATCTGCCAAGCAGCTAACTCTTCAGGCCTCCTTCATGAAGATGCTCTTTCTTCTCTGGGAAGTTATGGAATTTTAGAGATGAGTAAGGCTTGTGTCCACCTAATCATTTGATGGATGGGAGGGTGAGGGGTGTGATTTGCCTGCCGTCAGTGGGCAAATTAATGGAGGGGTCAGAATAGGAGGCATGTTTCCTGACTCAGCCCAAGTTTCCTCCACCCCAGCTAAGCACTCTCTTGGGCAGACTCCTGCCTTCTCAGCTGCCCCCGGGGAGAATATCCAGAGGGTCTTGAAGCTGTGCAAGGTGGCAGGACATTTGGACACCTACGTACTTAAACTCACGTGGCTCCCATGCACTCTGCTGTAGGTGTGAATGTGCTCTGTCTGAGGCAGTTTCCTTACATCCTTAAAAGTCAGTGGCTGAGGGGCCCAGCAAACGAGAGAGCCCTATAAAAACTGGAGCAGGCTGGGACAGATAGTATGGCTTTAGTGCTAAAGGAATAGTATGGCAGAGGGCTCAGTTTCTTCTGTCCTTAGGAACTAAGTCCCTAGTTCCCCTTTCTTAGGGAGCCCCCCTTTGCCAACTACAGTGGCAGGGGCTCACGTATGGGCTCACTCGCTGGCAGGCCAGGAGTGGCTTTCTCCTTGTCATCTCCCTGTACTGTACAAAAGCAAATAAATGGCAAACACACCCCCCTTGTGCTTGAGAAATTTAGAAAGCTGATTAAGAAGCCCTTGTGCATGTTTGGGGACAATTGAAAACAGCCTGAATTTGTCACTGTGGTCTCAGGAGAAATGAGTGTTTTTAATGAGAGGCAAAGGGACATCTTAATTGTCCAGAGGCAGCCACTCATGTCTGGTAGGTTGGCACCGAGCTGCTCTGATAACAGGATTACCAGTCAAGCTCCAGACAGTGCCGGCAGTGGGCTGCCACCTCTTATTGGCCCCATCTGTCAGTGTAGCCACACGTCCATCCACAAACGCTTCAGCCCAAGTGGAGGTCAGGAGTGCAGAGAGCTGGCGTGACCTTTGCAGAGAGGGAGAAGGGATGTGAGGCCTTCTGTCTGGACTCCTGGAGTGGTGGGCAGGGCGCTGGTGTCTGCAGGAGCAGCCCTCTGGCTGGGTTGGATATTAGCCATTGTGTGCCCCTCATCCCAGCTGCTTGCTCAGCAGACTCCCCTCTGTCAAGCGCCCGTGTCTGCCCCATGAGCAAGGTCTTTCTTAGACAGGGTCTTCGTGAGAGACCCAAGGAGGGAGGTCCAGTGCCTGGGCAGGGAGGCAAGGCCATGCTTGGTGCCTTCTTGAGGAACCTTCACCTTCCTACCCCACATCCCCAGGGAAGCCTGCAGGCCTGCAGAAAGCAGGTGGCTGTCCCCCGTGCTCCAGATGGCCTGTGGGGATGGCAGTGGGAGAGAGGGTCCCATTTTGCCATGAGGAGGACAGGGTGGCTTCAGGAGCCCAGGGGCGCCAGTGTTCTCCGGGTCATTCTGCGCACAGGGGTCTCCCTTATGAATGCTTTTTTCCCCTGATTTAAATGTCAGTTAAATTCACCTCTTGTCTTTCTCTCTTTTCAGTGCCAAGGCCATAGGTGGTCAGGAGTTCTAGGGACCAGTCTGTCCAAACTTTGCATCACAGAGACTGCTTAGGGTCACTCCATCTCATCTCCTATGGTGTCTTTATCTATTTTTATTTTACCTGCACTCTGGTGACGAGGATAGACGTGCGTGTCAGCGTCTGATGAAAGAGGTAGGGGGAGGTTTTCCAGGCAGAGAGTGTGCTACACTCTGCCCCCTGCCTTGGCCAGTACCGGTATTCTGTCTGGATGTTAGGCTAAGTCAAGAATTCTGACACCACTGTCTGAGTATTATGTCTAGGCACTGGGCTAGATCCACATGTGCATATTTACTCCTTACAATTCCTTTACAGCATCACTGCTCGAATACACAGGTAAGGAACCAGAAGCTCAGAAGAGTAGAGTAACTTGCCTGAGGCCACACAGCACCAAAATGATGAGCTGGGATTTGAATCTGGCTCATCTGGCTCTTTCTGCCATGTCATGCAGCCTTTGGGGGCTGGAGGCCTCTCCAGGGCACATTAAAACCAGGTCTGAGTCTGTAGAGAACCATTTTCCAAAGCCTCACTTCATGGTGTGGCCTGGGCCAGTTCTGGCTTCTACGTCTCTGAGCATCCTCAGAATACGGCACCCTCGTCCCCCTGCCTGGTGCCCTCTCTCTCCCGGGCTTTAGGGGTGATGGTCCCTCTCACCTGCCCCTCTCCCACCCTGTAAAGTTGAACATCAGTGTGTGGCCAGAGAAACTCCTAGAGACCAGCTTCCTTAGGGTGCATGAAGAGGGGCCTGGCCAAGGCCAGCAGAGGAGCCCATGCAGGGGGTGCCTCAGGAAGCCAGGACTGCAGAAGAGAGGCACGGGACCATCACCGGAGCTTTGGAGGAGAGACCCCAGGACACCAGCCAGGCGTGTTTTAGGGTGTGTCCACACCCTCCCGGAGGGGCCTGGGCAGATGACCGCTCTGCCGGTTCCTGCGCTGCCACTGAGGTCCCTTCCCTTTTCCATGAGCTCAAGTCAAGAGGCAAATGAGACTCCCCTACCTCTCTCTGCCCTCCAGAGAGGTGATTATTTCCCTTTAGGAATCCCCCAGGATTTGAGGAGAAATTTAGGGAGGACAGACTAGTACCACTTGGCTGGGGAGGCAGCAGGCCATTTTGTACCCATTGTAAAGGAGGGCTTGGATGCCAGCCCAACCCCTAGCATATGCTGGAATCCCTCCCTGGAGACGTGAGACTTGGCTGTTGTCTGCTCTGCCACCTGAATCCTTGCAGACAGATGGTACTCTCCTTCCCTAGGGGCATGACCTTCCAGTTCCTCATTAGTAGTGACGTTAATAATTATGATTCTTACTGCTGGCATTTATTGTTCATCTTCCTGTGCTGTGTGCCTTTTGCATTTCATTTACTTCTCAAATCACCCCTTGGGGGCAGGAGTGAGGATGCAGAAAAATGCACATTAATTATTGCCCCATTTTTCTGTTGGGAAAGCTGAGGCCAGGCTAAGCTCGTAAGCCTGAGAACCCACAGTGGAAGAGCTGAGATTGGGATGCAGCTCAGTTGGCTGCACAGGCCGGGGGGTGACCCTGCGTCTATCTCCCTGTGTCCACACCTTCTAGGATGAGGCCTCCGGCATGGCCCATCCCAAGCCAGGGCCCCTCAGGCTGGGGCTGTTTGGTCCCAGAGAACCAGGTTTAGGTCTAAGTCCTGGGGAAAGCAGTTAGAGGCATTAGAGAGCATCTAATAGGACCTCTAATTTGGGGAAGGGCAGCTGGGGCCACTTAGTCAATTAGTGGAGAGCTGACAAGTGCCCGGATGCCTGGCGCCCTATGCCTGGCCCAGGGCACATCTCCCAGCATGCTCTGCACTCCCCGGGGAGTACAGGGTGGCCCTGGATGACCAGCCTCAGCTCTGAGATGGGCATCATGTTCTTTGCCAGCTGTCACCCAGCCCCCTTCACCATGTCCTGGCAAATGCCCTTGGTCTCCAGGGCAAGTCCTGGGCTCACTGGGCTGCTGTGAGGGGTCACTCGGGGAGTCGTGCTTAGGGGTCCCATGGGAGTGGTCAGAGCTGGAATGACCCTTGCCCACTGGCCCACCTCTCCTACCCCACACACTCCACAGGCCCCTGACCTTGGTCATTCAGTGAGCCGGGCTGAGGGCAGGCTGAGTGCTGAGAGCTCAAAGGGACAGACTTCACAACCTACAAGGAGAAAAGAAGCCTCTCTAAGAAACCCAGGTGATCAGAATTAAACTGTGGCCAGTATTCCCAGCTCAGTGAGTCACTTCTAAGATTGGACCTTGAGCATTTTCTTTCCTTTTGTTTTTCAAAATGGAAACTGTGACGACTGAAGAGAGGACAGCTTCCCCCAGAGCGAGAGGCAGTAACGCAGCCAGAGCATGATGGAATGGCCAGAAGTACATAAAGCTGACTCCACAAATTATGTCATGTAAATATCCACATTATTTGTTCTGAGTCACTGTAAAAGTCATACGTTTTTTATCACACTAGATAATAAAAGCAGAGAAAGCCCTTGGTGAGAGTGGGCAAGCTGTACAGTACCCTGAACGTACCGAGCACCCGTCTTCTGACCTGCGCCTGCCCACACCTCTCCGGAAGAGGTTTGAGACCCGTCCTGCCTTGGGAATAGATCCTGACTGGTAACACAGGAAACATTTTCAGGGAATTTGTGTTTTGTGGCTGTTGGAGAAATACAGAGCTCTCATTCCTCACTGAGTCCCCTCCGTGTGACCAAGCAGCCACCAGGGCCCCAGTGTCTGTCTCACTGTGTTAACAAACTGGAGAGTTCCCGCATTTACAGAGAATTGAGAGAATTGTCCCAACAATCCAGATGGTTCTGACCAGGGCTCTGTAAGCTGGCAGGGAGGGGGCTGCCAACCTTTTACACTTGAGGAAACTGAGTGTCTCAGAGGTTTGGGAGAGTTGCAGGTCAGGCTGGTCAGCAGGTCACCCAGGGCATCTATCCACAAAGTTTCTGAACTGTTAGGCCAGTGGTTCTTAACTGGGGAAAATCTTGTTCCCCGGAGAACCTTGGGCAATGTGCAGAAACAATTTTGGTTGGTTGGGAAATCGAGCACTCAGACATACTATCTCGGATTCCCAACGATGGGTGTTTTCGAAGCTCTACTTTTCCCCGTTTGTGAATCTTTGAATAAATCAAAGCTCTTCCAAGCGACAGCAGTGATCATGGTTGCTGCCCTGATTTCAAATAACTCCAGCTGAGGGCGGAGGTCTGGACTGTAGAAAGCCTTTTGGAAATCCACATAACCCTCCATTTCTGCTGTCTTGGCTTTCGTGAGCAGTCTCAGCCTGGATGGAGAACATCTTAGGACGTGGATGGGAGGATGGGGCCGAGCTTCGCCCTTGTTCTCCCCACCCAGGAACTGTCCCTGGGACCTTGAGGGACCTGGCCTCTCACCAATGCATCTGAAAAGCACCACTTTGGAGAAGAAGGGGTGGAGTTGGGGGTTGCTTAGCAGCCCTTGTGCGAACCTGCTTCTCTCGTTTCTGACCCTTTTCCATGTCCCTGCTCTGTTTCCCCCAGTGGAAGGCACTTTCTACTATTTCAAGTTTTACAGAAACCTTATTCTTGTAACTCGCCACTCCCCAGATACCAATTCTTCACTCCGAGAGAATCGGAAATGTTTGTGTCTTACTAATGTTTTCATAACCAACTTGTAAATGTAAGCAGTTTACTGAATAAAAAGGTATTTTAACTATTCTTGTCCTTTGCTACTCAGGCCCCCTGGTTTCGTGATAAGATCGCTAACTTTTATTACAGTGAAAAGGCTATTTCTTAAGATAGGATTTCAGTGTGGTCCTTTGGGGAGAAATACCCAACCTTAGTGACTGTAAAATTGTGGCTGTGGAATTGTGTTCCTTTGACTGTTACACCATTACTGTTGTCGTTTTCTATTATGATAATTAAAAAAAACATTAATCCTCAGTGTCTGAATCCAGCCTCTGCTTTGTCTAAAGGAGAGCGTCTGCTCATCATTGCCAGAGTCAGCTTGAGGTCCTCTCCATTCTGGTGCCCCTCCCACCCCACCCCAGGAGGGACAGATCCCCTCCCCCAGGCCCCTCCAGGGCCCCTCTGTCCTCACACCTGTAGCAAATAGTACAGGCTACCTGCACTTCCCCAGCAGCGCTTTCCACCCTCCATGTCCTGAGAGCAAGCTGCCACATTCAACTTCTCGTGCCTCGGCCCTGGCACAGGACCTGGGCCATGGTACACACCCTGCAGACGCTCGGGGAATGAATGAGTGATGTCTGAGAGACCCGCCCAGTACGTTTCAATGACACGTGGGACAGAGTTAAATGGTTATGGTTTCATTCATTCATCCACCGAGAACAGCAAACATGTAATTTACAAGGTGCTCTGTGCAGCTCTGTGCCCTTTTCATAGAGGTGACTCTTGGTCTTCAGAACAAGTATACAAAGTAGACACTATTGCTACCCTCTTTCCTGTCTTTACAAATGGAGAAACTGAGGCAAGAGAGGTTTCTTGCCCAAGACCATGGAGCTGGTGAGTGGCAGAACCGGGACTGGACTCCAGGACTGGCTCGGAGTCCATATGCACAGGGCTATGAGATGGCAGCTCTGTGCCGGGAGCAGGGAAGCCGGCGGCAAGTGAGCAACCTACTCAGAATACATTTTTGAGAGGGAGAGAGGCACAAAATGATGTCCCTGTCAGGTGTCACATGCTGCAAGGATAGGGGGCTAAGTGTGTGCTCTGCACCAGGGTCCCTCCCAAAGGGTTTCTACATCAAGTCCTAAAGGAGGTCTGCCGCAGAGGTCAGGACGGCATTGAAGCAGGACTGGTGCAAGGAGTTCATGGGCATCTGTGGCTTAGGCAAGAGCTGGCAGCTAATGGGAGCTTAAACCCAGAGCCTGGTCATCCTAAAAGGTAGAAGGGGTCCACCTCTGGGCAGGTGCAGGAGGAGGGTGCCTGCCGGTCAAAAGATTCTTGGGCCAAGAGTCAAGAGTTCCATGACCAAGGAGCCTTGGGCTGCGGAGGTGTCCCCCCTCCACCCCTAACTGTGGCCATGGACTAGCTCCAGCTCTCCCGGTCCTTCTGTCGGGCAGGAAGACCCAGTGCCCTCAGGGGCCCAGAGCCAGGCCACTCTGTGCCTGCAGACAACCAACACCTGCCACCATCAGGTCCGGAGCCTGACGTGAGATGAAAATGCGGGGCTCATATTCAAGGTTTTAAGAATTTCAAGATGGTGTCTACAGGACATTAAACCATGTGTGAGACTCTTCTGGGAGCGGGGACCTGTGTGACTGCCCAGGTTACACGCCCACAAAGCCGGCCCTGGCCGCTGCCATTCCGAATATGCAGCCAGGGCAAGCAAGGGGTAGATTAACACACTCCACACCACACCACGCTACCTTCTGTCTTAGGAGGCTTCTCAAATTTTCAGGAAGTTAAAGTTGACCACTCATGGGAGATGCAGAAAGGGCCAGAAAATGCTCCCATTCCTACAGGCAAGCTTCTTTCACAGTGTGACTTGGCAGTACCCCATCCAGAGGTGGACCTTATTTATCTCCCCGACCTCTGACTCTGGGTTGGCCTTGTGACCTGCCTCTCCACCAACAGGGTCTGGCAGGACTGACGTTGGGCCAGTGCTGGGAGTCGGCCCCTGGAAGGCTTGCAGGGACCTCTTCTGATGACTTTGGAGCCCTGCGGACCCAAGACTAGCAGCCTGCTGGATAAGGAGAGCCCAGAGCATGGCCACCCTCTAAGCCCCAGTCAAGCGCCCCCCAGCTGCCCCACAGGTGAGCCAGCCAAGGGAGGGGAGAAAGCCAAGGAAAACAAGGTGCTCCACAATGTCAAGGGCTGCACGGCACTCCCTAGGCAGCAGGTAAAGCCAAATAGATCACTGAGGGCTGCCTGAGGAGGCAAGACCCTACTGTGCTTAGAATCTAAAGAAGTAGGGGCACAGCAGAGGGTTGCATGGATGCTGGGGGATAGGAGGCCAGGCTGGACCCTGGAAGTCAAGGCAGAAAAGGCAGATAAGCAGACAAAGCCAGCTAGACGGGGCCCTGAACATCAGGGTGAGAAGTCATGGTGGGCAGTGGCTGCCATCAGCTACACCCAAGCAGGGCTGGTCCTCAGAGTGCCCAGTGTCTGGAACAGGAAGGCAGCAAGGACGCTGAGAAGTGACTCCCAAATGCCTCCCAAACCTGCGCCTCAGGCCATCTTCCTGGCCCCTCCACTCTGCCTCCAGCTCGGGCCAGTAGCTGGGCTCCCCTCCCCTTCGTGCACATGCAGGATGGCAGAGCCACTCGTGCAGCCCAGCGCCCTGCAGTTTCAAGACTGAAGAGCATCATTTCAAAATAAAGCAAGATTTCTCAAGAAAAGGAGGCAGTATCCACAGTCCAGTACTGCCACATTTATATTTTAAGAGGCTGCAACTAGGTCAGTCTACCCAAAATGTCATCCCCTGCTCCCCACTGCCATGTCTCTGCTAGCGTTTATACTAAATGCTTGGTTTTACAAATTTGATTTGCAAATACACATATCTGTATTCTATTTGCCTACTGCGATCAATCTTGATATTTCAGTGGTTTGAAATGGGTTTCCTGGAGCAGAAAGTTGATAATGCAATATTAGGTCTGTAGAGGAATAAATGTGCAAAGAACCACAGCTCTTCACTTTTGTTCAGGAGCGCTTGAGTTGTGAGTTGGTGGGGCAAGTGTGCGCCCTCCTCTGGACAAGCCTACCTGTCCTACTAGCTGTGCACCCCTGGAGGGCAAAGCCCCCTTTGGTTCACCCTTGTGTCCCCCACAATGCCCAGCTCAGGCGTGGCATAGGGCCATACTTGCAGAAGTTGGGAAATAAATATATGAGAGCAGATGGGCTGAAGAAAGCAGCCGCCCTCCGTGCTGGCAGAATGGCCATTCCCTGCTTGGAGACTGAGCACAGGGGTGGAAGAAGAGGAGGGAGAGAGGAGGGCAGGTGTCCAGGGCCCACACGGGCCCCCTTGGGATTCGGGGGCCTAGCCTGTTTGCACGGCTCCAAAGCCTGCCCTCCCTGGTGACTTTCCATTTGCCCTGGGCAGGCCCCCAGTTGCTCAGGTTCCTGCAGAGTGCTGGCCTGGCCAGGGCTGCAGAAATGATTAATATTTGTGCAATCTAGGCTGCTGGGGCCTTATCTGCAAACTATAGAAATAACCTAACCACCCTGATAACCGGCACTTGGAGCCATGCTGCCCTAGGGGTGTGCAAAACACTTTCCAAACCAGCTTTGGTCCCTCCCAGCTGACATCTGCTCAGCCTCTCCGCACCACCAATCTGGGCCAGGCTCTGAGATGCATAGAAGGCAGGGCCCCTATTCTTTGTCTGGGGGTGAGGGGTGCATGTGATCAGCTGAAGACAACAGGGTGCAAATGCAGACAGTGGGAAGCCTGGGGACAGGCTTGGGGAGCCAGAGGAAGGCCTCTAACTAGGCTGGTACCTCAGGCCAGACGCCATGTGTCCAGTTTTTAGAAAAGAAAACCAAAGTTCATGTATTTATTCATTCATTCATGACTGAGTACCTACTATGTGCTGGGCACTATTCTAGACATTGGGGGTGCAAAAAGGAACAAAGTATACCTATCACCTTCTGGTGGTGAACAAGAAGTGAATAGTTAAACATATGATAACTGTGACGTAAGGAATATGTAATAGTGTCTATTGCTAACATTACTATGTTTATTTAAAACATGATAAGAGGGTACATCCTATGTTAAATGTTTTTACAACAACAACAACAACAATAATAATATAGGGGGATGGAGGAAACTTTGAGAGGTACGGATCTGTCCATGGCCTTGACGGCAGTGAAGGTTTCATGAGTATATACTTATCTCCAAACCCATCCAGTTGTGTACATTGAATATGTACTGCTTTTTACATATCATCCTACCTCAGTGAAGTGGTTTAAAAAAAGAAAATAAATATATACTTATTTTTGGTTTATGCCCCTGGTTTCTGACACAGAGCTTCTATATCCCTTGGAATTTCCTGGGTGATAGGAGTGTCTTTTGTTCTGACAAGGCAGCTCCTAGATGAGGGCTGGTCACCAGAAAGACCAAGCCATAGTTCAAAGCTTGGAATGTTCAGTCCCACCTGCCCCCCGATCTTCCAGGGAGGAGAGAGGGGCCGGCAACTGAGTAAATGAATGATCATGCCTACGAAATGAAGCCTCCACACAAATCCCTAAGCTACAGGGCTGGGAGAACTCCCAGGTTGATGAGCACACCCACGTGCCAGGACGGTGGCGCTCCTCGGCTCCACGGGGATGGACGCTCCTGCACTCAGGCCCCATCCAGGTCTTGCTCTGCGCTCCTCCTCATGCAGCTGGTCATCTGCATCCTCGGCGACACAGGTAGATGTAAGTCGAGTGTTTCTCTGAGCCCTGTGAGCCGTTCTAGCTGAGTACCAGACCTGGGGAAGGTGTCGCAGGAAGCCTCAATTTAGAGCTGGTCAGACAGAAGTCTGGGGACCGGGGGGACCTGGTATCTGTGACTGGCGTCTGAAACAGGGTGGTCCTGTGGGACTGAGCCATTTAACCTGTGGGGGTCTGATGTTAATTCCAGGTGGTGTCAGAGCCAAAATCAATTATAGGCCACCCAGTTCGTGTCCAAGAGCTGGAGCACAGTTGGTGGGGGGAAAACCCACACTTTTGGTGTCAGAAGAACAGTTTTCTTTTAATACCGAACAGTGATAGATGTTATGGAGAAAAATAAAGTGAGTTTCAGGGGAGAATGAAGCGGCATGCTGTTTTGGAAAAGGATGTCAGGAAACTGGCGCAGAGATAAAGCCACGCATGAGTTAGAGCCACCACAATGGTCTGTTCAGTAACCACCGAGGGCAGGGAAGGTGCCGAATGCCAGCAGGACTTGTGCAGAGGTGACCTGAATCAAAGGGCCTGAATCCTGGGGAAGCAGGAGCGGGTGC